TGCAATTGGCAGGGCGTATAACAATAATTGACAAGGAGCTCAAATGGAGGCGCCCAGTTGCAGGATAAAGAGGATTGGTTAAATATTTGGATAGATAATAGGGATCGACCGATTATCAGTCTGGCCAATATTATCGGCCCGATATTCGGTATTTTCGGCAATATCGGTGACAAGCCCAGCAGTCCTGGTGGGCCCGCAGCAAGCTCTTACTTACCTTCCCAGCAGCTCCCCTGTCTAAATCTCGCGAGTCCTGCGGCCGTCAGAGTGTTGCCACAGGACCATCAGTGAATGCTATAAAAAAAAAAAAAAAAAATTAAATATTCAAAATAAAAATGCCCCCCCCCTACACACATTACATACCTACACAAACACAAACACACTGCAATCACTATGCACACACTACACAAACACATACTCTGCATTCATTATATACACACAACACAAACACACTGCATTCACTATACACACACACTACGCAAACACACACACTGCATTCATTATATACACAAACTCCTTTGGCTTCCAATATATTTTCTATGCGGATGACACGCAAATCTACCTGTCCTCTCCTGATCTCTCCCTGTCCCTCTTGACTAGTGTCTCTGACTGCCTCTCTGCTATTTCTAAATGGATGGCTGCCCACTTACTTAAACTCAACTTGACCAAAACTGAAATTCTGATCTTTCCTCCCTCAAGTGTTGTTACTCCTGTGCCTGTCTCCCTCCAAGTCAATGGTGCTATCATCAGCTCCACCACGCAGGCTCGCTGCCTAGGTGTTCTCTTTGACTCCGACCTCTCCTTCACACGTCATGTTGGCCAATTGAGGAAGCCTGTATATCAGGCGAAACGCGTTTTGGACACTCTAACCTACTTTATCTATATCCAATATTTATTGGTATAGTATTTTCGTTTACTGTTAATTTTTGTTAACATTTTATATTGGAAATAAAGAAATATCTATTTTAAGAATAAGCAACATACTGAGAATTCCTTGGGGGACACAAAAAGGACCACTAAAGAGGAGTATCCAGTAACCAACGATAGAAGGGTCTGGACAACCCCCTAATGGTCCAAAGGAACATACCTCTAGAGTCATATGATGGTATGACTCCAACCTTGTGAGTTCAACGATTTTATTTCTACTTCTATTATTATTTGTGCAGACTCTCTACGCTATTTGTATTTATTCTGTCTTACAGATATAGGACATTACACAGCTCCACCTATTACTTCGTATGTATTGTATTGTTTTTATAGTGGTGTAAGGGGTACCACTTTATAGGTGTTTAAAGAGCTACCACATTTTTTATCACTGTGTACTTCTTTGTTTTCATATTGTTATAATTGAGCAGGGCCCTCAACCCAGGGCCAGATTAACAGCCCAGTGGGCCTGGTGCTGACAATTCTGACGAGCCTAATTAAAGAATCATATCGACCAAAAACACTAAAACACTCCCAAGCTTCATGTATCTGATGGAGATGGTGCTGGAGAGAAAGAAAACAGCAGTTATAAGAAAACACATACCCTATGCTAATCTCCCTCTAACTTATGTTTTCATCTTTCAAGTAAATCCATAACCCCTAACAGCAGTGTCCAGTCAAGCAGGAAGTCAATGGGCATGGTAAAAGGGTGTGCCACTGACACAAATCACGTAACCTGCCAAAAGGGGCGAACATGCCCAAAAAGAGGACATGCCTGCCCAAAGAATTAGAAGGCCAGCCTGGCATGAATGCATGTCAGGCTGCCTGCCAATCATGCAGCTGGCCAACTAAGGGCATACTATGCAGACAGCACCCTGAGCTTGGCATAAATGCATCTAATGATGCGCTCGCTCAACGCTTTCTAAAGGACGGTCCCCTAGCACTCACTGGTCCACTTGTCTCCTTACCTTCTTACTAGCAGGCAGACGCTCCTGGTATATAGTCTGGGACAGAGAACCTGTATGTAGTGAGTGTAGAAGAAAGGGAACATGCCACAGTGTTAGAGAGACCAAAGTCAGCATTACATTAAAGGATCACTATAGGGTCAGGAACACAAACATGAATTCCTGACCCTATAGTGTTAACACCACCATCTAACCCCCCTGGGCCCCTCATGCCTCCATAAATATAGTAAAAATCTTGCTGTATTCAAGCCTGAAGCTGTAACTCTGCATGCTGTTACACTCAGAAAAACAAGCAGTCTGCTGACATCATTAGAAGTGGTGGCCTCATCCAATCACAGTGCTTCCCCACAGGATTGGCTGAGACTGACAAGACGGCAGATCAGGGGCAGAGCCAGCATGATTCAAACACAGCCCTGGCCAATCACAGCTAGCAGACACATTCCACCCAATCAGCAGCAGACCCTCCCTCCCAGGAAGTGTCTGCTGACTGTGAGGTTCCGGGTCAAAGTTTACTCAATGATGACGTATAGGGGGCGGACCGGAAATCGGATATGTTCGCCCAACGCGAACACGCTATTGTTCGCCAGTGGACAGTTCGGACAGTTCGCGACATCTCTAATGGGGACACCAGCAAATGGCAGCATGGCTGCCACTGGTATAATCTCGACTTGCACGACCATGTGTATGTTCGCGTAGGCAGGGTCACACAGGCATGCAAGTGTATAATTCATTATTATTTTATTTTTATTTTTTATTGTTGAGAGGTGGAAATCTTGGTTTGAGATCCCTCTCACCCCTCCTCTCCCCAGGACTTTTACTGCATGTAACAAACTCTTCTGGCTCATTAATCTTATATGAGTAAAAGTAACTCTGATACTAAAAATAAACTTTAGAATCTGATTCTGCATGGCATCTTTTGTCTAAATCGCTTTATATTTTTTTCCCGGAGAGCTATAGTTTTCATAAAATACATTTTACTTTTCCTTATTTATAGTTTTCAAATTGACAAAACTTGACAGTGGGTGGAGTTTACAGGACAACTGTCACCTCAAAACTATTTTTTTAATTTAATAATGCTTTCATGAAGCATTGCAAGGAAATAGATTTTTCTAAAATTAAGTATATGTAAAAATGAGAAAAACCTTGTTCGTACTTTTAGGATATTACAGGATCCTTCAGCCATATACATGCACCTTTGGTTGGACATTGTTTAAAAACCGACACATAGTCTCTATGGTTTTCCCTGCTTTACTCCCTGTAGAGAAGACCATAGAGACTTTCTGTTTTCTAATACTGCCTGACCAAAGGTGCATGTACATGGCTGAAGAGGCCTATCATACACTAAAGGTAGGGATGACTTTTTCCTAATTTTTTTTACACATCTTGGTTGTTTATTATGAATTAAATGTTTTTTTCTCATAAAGGGTTCCTGGAAATCGCTACTTATCTTCATATCCTTCTAGCAAAAGTGTGAATGAGTAACAGGCTCTTAAAAATACACATGATTTCCTTCCTCAGTGTGAAATATAACCAGAATAGTGAGTGTTACTAGCTAAAAATCCCCAAAACTAAACGGTTTAAAGGGACATTATAGTCTCACAACCATTTTAGCTTAATATAGTGGTTCTGGCTTCTATAGCCTATCTCTGCAGGAATTTCAAAGAAAATGGCAGAGTTTACATTGCTGACTAGTAACACCTCCCAGCATCTAAGTTCAGTGTCTTCATTTTCTGCATGGAGACGCTGAACGTTCCCCATAAAGATGCATTGAGATGCTGATTGGTGCAGCGTGGCATTTTGCCGCCTGAGCAATAGCCTCCCAATTCTCTCCTATGGGAAAGCATTGCATTGGCTGAGATCAACAAGATTGATAATCTCAGTCACGGAGGTGGAGTCTCGGGTGTGCCCCCAATCCTTTCTCTGTACACAGTATATCTGTAATTCAGACCAGATTCCTTTGGGGTTAAGCACCCCACCCAGTCCCCCCAGCTTCAGAAGCTCCTTTAGAGGTGGCCACAGGTGTGTATATATAGGAGGAGTTTTCAATAGTCAGGTCACTATTATTATTTTCTTCATTCAACACAGATATCATCTGCAATAGTGAGTATACTCATTCTAGCACTAACACTTTAATTGTTTAGTTTCAACACTGTTTTTAATTGCTTTCATCACTTTATTTTTGTATACTCACTTTGCTTTTACAAAGATTTAATTTAATACACTTTATTTTTAACACTAGTACTATTTAATTTGTCACCCACATTTTAGCGTAGGACCCACCAACAAAGAAAGTTATGCAGATATTTTAATGAACCAACAATTGGCATAATATACATATAGCAAAAAATACAAAATGACAATATAACGGCATAAAAAATAAAACAGTAATAATTTACCAAACTTCTCACACGCCTACCCTGGCAGAAACACGAGTCCCCGCCAACTGGCTGCCTTCTTCAAGGGTGTTTATACCCAGACTTACCAAAATCCCTTTATATAACCCCCATACAGCTGATGGCCATCAGTAATCCTGCAGGTACGAAACCGTATGGTTTATATCTTTAGTGATTGTTTTTATCTTTCACATATTTACTTTAGACTTTGATGTGGTGGTATTTGGCTGCATACGATTTTGGATATACAGACGTATGGTCTACTTTACTTGACAAACCCCACCAGGTCTATATCTTCATTATTAGCTCTAATAGGAGATGATTATCTTTAATAAATCTATAAACTGAACCTCAACAAAACCGAATTTGGTGGACTTGTGCTACTGCTTTCTCTGACATACATCTATGCTGCCCAAGTGGGACATATGCAGCATTGGCATGCCATCCTGAATTTTAACTGACTTGCCATCACACCCATTAATTTCACACACATCCCCGGGTGTCACACATTCCCAACCTGCCAGCTATTAATAAACTAAAAGGTGTATCCATCCCATGACCTTTGATACAGTCTTACCCACAGTTTTTGCTGATCGAGGCAAAATGTGCATTGACTGTTCCAAGTCTCCTCCATCGTTACTGTCCAGGATATTCCACAGTCTGTGTCTTTCCACCTCTGCCTTTTATCATATAGTGCACATCCAGTTACACAGCTTTGATGCTCCCCAGAAGACAGTAAGGCTGGCCCCTCTAAACTCACTGCATGAACATAAATGTCACTATTCATAAAGGGTATATCTCTATATTTTGTATTTTGATTGCAATGGTATAGGAAATCAATCTTGGCAACTGATGAACCTTTAGTAACCATTTCTATGTAAGCCTTTGCAAATCTAAAGAAGAAGACTTTCAAATCCTTCTGTAGATGGTATAGCACTCCCACTAAGTTATCTTATGTGGGTCAAATCTCACAATGATGTATGCCTGAAAATGTAGAGGTAAAGACACCTATATGCATCACAGATAGTCTTCTCCTAAACTGATCAATTTATAGGACCTTATCTCTCATGCCGGTTTGAAACCTTTTTCTCTTATCCATGTGCCCCTTTAAGGGTTTTCTCTTCACTTTTATAATACTTTTTTTTCTCTGTTTCTTTGCATTGTTTCCTTTTAAGGTTTCTATTGACATTGATGGATTTATTTAAGACACAGCAATAAATTGTGCATTACGATGGCACCTAACGAGTTAAGCAATTATGATCTGTAACTTTTTCACAACTGTGTATATTCGCCTTTTGACAGCAGACAAATCAGTTTCATGTCGCTTCCCCTGACAATAAAGAAAATAATTTTGGGACAACTGAATCTCAGCCAAATGGCAGTTCGGCACAGCCGAATTTTGTTATCGAAGAAAGATTCGCGAAAACAAATCAGACGTTAGATGGTTGTCCCCTAGGCATCAATCATCTTTTTTTCCTTCAATCATTTTTTTTGGCACCATTGGTGGAATTCAATTGTTTATTTTAGTCTAGTTTTATTTGACTAAATCTCCAGTATATTTTAGTTGACACAACTAAAATCTAATGGGTTTAGTTAAAGTATCTGTCTCTTTTGCCCCTTCCCCAGCCCCTTTATGTCTCTTTGTGTCCCCCAGTCCCTCTGGGTGTCTTTCTCCCAAGTCTGTCTTTGTTGTCCCTTCCCCAGCCCCTCAGAGTTGCTTGTGTCACCCCAGACCCTCTGGGTGTCTCTCCCCAAACTCCTGTCTGTCTCTTTTTGCCCCTTCCCCTGTCTGTCTCTTTTGACCCATTTCCCAGCCCCTCTGTGATTCTTTGCCCCCTTCCCTGCCCCTCTGTGTGTCTCTTTCTCTCCACAGCTCCATTTGTGTGTCTCTTCTGCCCCAGCACCTTGTCTCTTTCTCCCCCACATGTCTTATTCTCCTCAAGGCCCTCTATGTGCGCATTTCCCTCTCAGTCCCTCCATGTGTCTCATTCTTCAGCTCCCCATTTGTCTCATCCCTCCAGACCTCTCATGTGACTTATTTCCCCAGCCCCCCCCATGTGTCTCATTATCCCAGTCGAATAAATTTGACGGAAATTGTTAGTCGGCAAAATTAACCCTGTTTCTTAGAGGTGTATAAAGATGCAGATGTGTACATATGCATATATAGTGCCAACAGCTGAATAGCTCCAGTATGTATAAATGCAAGGACAGATTTGATGGTGTCTCTCGGTGTGCCTATACTGAATTACAAAAAAAAAGGAAGTGGCAGAGGGAAATAGTGCTTTCATTTGCGTATAGGGACCGTTCACAGCAGGGCTGTGCAAGGAATATATTTTTTTCTGCAGAAATATTTTCTCAGTCTCGTTAGAGCTGTATTTGAAAACACGTATGTATATAAGTAAGAAGTCATCTATAAGTATATATTAATAGATTAATGTTTTATCATCATGTTTTAAATCCTTCATTTTGTTTATCAATGAAATCTTTGAATGCAGCCATTTAGGAAAGATTTACATACTATGTCACACCCTTGTGGGTGGTATAAAAAGACTATTGTGCTGGTTATAAGTCAGATCTGAAGAAGCCAATTTTTCGGCAAAACGTGTCATCTGACTCATCAAGTGACGTCATCACGTACGTCCCACCTCCCGGAAGTAGCCTATGGACTTTGCGAAAAGCTGAGCGTGTATAGAGACTCTGCATTTGCCGGCAGCTGTACGGACTCCACAAGCACACGTTCCATTCAGGATCAGGTGATTCTTTTTAGTTTGAAGTTTTATGTATCAAAATAAATCATTTTTTATCCTACTGGCTGCAGTGGACATCTCTGCATATTGAGGCTATTCGAAGTAGAGCAGGCTCATCTGCTCTCTGTTTTGTGAGTGAAAACTCCATTTAAATATTTTCAGCTCTTTTTTTATTTAACAATACTTCACTATACATGGTTTTTGTATTTTTCTTTTTTCTGTATTATTGTCTGAATTTGACAGTAGAGTAAGTTTATTTCATATATCTATGCACATGATCACATTGTAAGTGGCCTTTTTTTGCAATTTGCACTTTTTAAAAGTATGTAGTTGCACATTGCACTTTCTGAAAGGTATACCACATTCTGCATTTACTCTCAAAAATTAATGCAGTAAGGAAAATTTGCACTATAAATTTTAGCGCATTTATTTTGTTTGTTTGGAGAGGGATTCCCTTGCTGCCCCTAAACCTAATTTAAATCCTAATATAAACTCTAATGTGAATAAACTGAATACTAAACCTAATAGACATGTGCACTAGTGAAATTTTTGTTTTGTATGAATGATTTTGTACTAAATAAAAATTTCATTCATCAATCCTGAATTTCGTATGCAAACCATTAGTTTTCAAATGAAATTCGTAAAAAAAATATGTTCGTTTTCGTCCATGAGAACGAAAACTGCACTGCGCATGCACCAAAAAAAAAAACAAGGAGGGAGCCGGCAGCGCTGCCAGCATCCTCCTTATATGAAAAAATAACTATTGCTACCCCCACCTGCATTAAAACCTATGGGGTCACTATGACCCCCATATTAATGAAAGGGAGGTTAAATCTTCCAGAATGCCCCTAATCGTGGTATGCTGCGAGAAGGGGCATGTCGCTTAAACATTTAACACTAAAAATAAATCAGTATGGGGGTCACTCTGACCCCATATTGATAACAGGGAGGTTAAATCCTCCTGCATGTTGCCTATTGCTGCCCAGTCACTAGTGGAATAAGGGGGCACAGTTAAAATCCTGCCACATGCCAGTGGCTGCTCGCTGTCATTTAAAACTGGATAGAAAAATCAGTATCTTATATAGAAGTGATGGAGAGCTGTAGTAAGAGTACATGTAACCAAAAGTAATAGTAAAAACTATAACAATGTTGCAATATGAAAAAGTATCTATTTAGATCTAAATAGCTACTTTTTACATGTACTCTTACCGTATTCTTTACACTTCTATGTAAAATACATTTATATCCAGGGGCTGCTCGCTGTCATAAAACTAAATATAAATCAGTATGGTGGTCACTATGAGCCTCATATTGATAAAAGGGAGGTTAAATCCTCCCGCATGCCTCTACTTGCAGCGGGGGGGCACTATGTCCCCCCATTGAAGTTACAGTCACTAGTAGTTTTAAATGACAGCGAGCAGGCACTGGCTGCTCATGGGTGGGGACCAGGGGGAACATTAGGCCCCCCCTTTAATTAATTACGGTCCCCGACCCATCGCTCATGGCTGGGGACCTGGGGGGGACATTAGGTCCCCCTCATTATTTATTTAGGGTTCCCATCTGCCGCTCATTGGTGGGGACCAGGGAGGACATTAGGTCCCCCCCATTATTTATTTAATTAGGTTCCCCACCCGCCACTCATGGGTGCGGACCAGGGGGGACATTAGGTTCCCCCTTTAACTTATTAGGGTCCCCATCTGCTGCTCATGTATGGAGACCAGGCATTAGGTCCCCCCATTATTTATATTATTAGGGCACCTACCTGCTGCTAATGTGTGGGGTCCAGGGGGGACATTAGGTCCCCCCTTTATTTTATTAGGGTCCCCACCCGCCATTCATCAGTGGGGACCTGGGGGAGAAATTAGGTACCCCATTATTTATTTAATTAAGGTCTCCACCCGCTGCTCATGGGTGGGGACCAGGGGGGACATTAGGTCACGGGTTTTAACCCCTTAAGGACCAAACTTCTGGAATAAAAGGGAATCATGTCATGTGTCCTTAAGGGGTTAATGCAGGGGGGGTTGGAGTAATTATTTATTACAAGGAGGGATCTGGTAACGCTGCTTGCTCCCTCCTTGTTTTATTTATTTTTTTGCGCGTGTTAGTGTTATTTTCTCCATGCTGTGGGGGTTAATTCCCCTGCAGCATGGAGTCTATTAAACGAACGAGACGAAAAGGTAATGCATTTGGCATTTGCCCTTTTTATTTAGTTTATATTTTGTTTGTATGGCTTTCTCTTATGTTTTAGTAAACGAATATGAAAAAAACAGAATTTTCGGATGAAATTGTATTTGTACAAAAACGAATGCACATGTCTAAAACCTAATAGTTTTAAAAAAACAAAAACAAATTTAAATCCATAATTTTAATCCATTATTGAATTCTAATTCCAGTAATGATTTTAGCAAAGGGAATTTTAAGATTTAAAAAAAATGGTATGTTGCCCTCTATAGAGCCCTCTATTGTCTATTTTCATTATGACAGCTTTATATCTTTAACATTGAATATAGTATGAACAATGCATTGTGATCAGTGCTGTGCAACTGACAAAGCCCAACAATTATCAAAATGCCATTAGGTCATGAAGGAAGACCATGCAGGGTCTGTTTAGACCATGGGGTTTTCCTATTCACCAGATGCACTGTGAGAATCACTATGGCTGAGCTTGTACTCTAATCTTCAGTGTTCTCTTAGGATATTTCAGCCCTGCATGCAGCTCATCAAAAAGGTCTGGGCCATTAAACATGACCCCAGCTGACAGAGGGGAGTCCCAGCTATCTCTTGTTACCTGGGGTTCCTGGTGTGAGCAGGGATTTAACTCTAATCACACTCTGTTGCTGTCTATGGGGATTTAAATCCCCACTTAAAGAGCTGCATGCTGATTTCACTCGGATGTCTGCATGCAGCTCACCTGTCAATCTGGGGTCACTAAAATGGCCCCAGCTGACAAAGAGGAGCCCCAGGTATCTACAGTTGCAAGAAAAAGTATGTGAACCCTTTGGAATACAACAAGAGAAAAGAGAGGCTGCGCCAAAAGAAATGATAAAAAAGGTTATAAAAATTAAATAAAATTAGTCCCAATATATATATATAAGGTTGAACTGTGGTAGGAAGTTGTCTTAAGCAATATTTCAGCTGGTGGAGTATCTTCTCTGTTTATAGTAGTGCAGATCGTCTCGTGATATGGAAGACACAAGAAGAGAGGACCAATCGTGTGGAGTGTATATGATGAATATAGGTGAATTAAAACATAATTTTTTCACTCACATTTAGAGCTCAGGTGTAGTAGGCATATAGCGGAACAATCCCCGCTTATAGGATATACAGATGCTTGTCCTCCAGAAGGAAATGGTGTCCAACTCTCAGGGAAAGAAGAACATAAAAACAACCAATAGTGCTCTCTGATGACATGATATAAAAGTGGATAAAATAAAATAAAATATACTCACAAGTGGAGTGCAAGCCTAACTGCACTCTGATAATAGCGTTGGTGGTATGATCCCCACCTCAGGATTAGTTAAGTAAAATGCCAGGAAAAAATAATAATCATAAAAATGTGTATAAAAAAGTAATGGCACAAAAATGTAGCCAAAAATCTTTTATTATACAATACACAATATTATAAAACCATTCACGCATTTCGCCATTAGGGCTTTATCAAAATGTAATAACATTAGAACCTGGCAGGTAGGAGTATATATAGGTACATAGATTATTTAAAAATGGCGCCAAAAAAGTCATTAACCAATCAGAGTAATGTATTACCCATAACAGTAGTAAAATTTACATTTGGAAGTAAAATTGAACAGAAGAGTTTTAACAATATACATATTGACAAACACAATCATTTAAAATTGAAATCAGTGGAAAATGAAATATACCAACATAGATTTTAACACATCACGTGACTCGCGCAGCACTATGGGGGATGTGGTGCGCGAGTCACATGACCGGCACCCACAGAGGTGTACTGGGACCGGAAGGGGGCCACATGGGAAATGTAGTAAGTGCGGCCGCCCTAATCGTAGGCGGCACGCACAGAGTAAGGAGTGGGTATAGAGTGCGTCACATGACCCGCAGCACGTAAGAGAGTATGGTGTGCGGTTCACGTGATCGGCATACTCAGAGGAATTATAGCGGAGCATGGCCCCATGGGTATTGTAGTATTTAGGTGTGCGTCCTCCATTATTATGGGCAGCATTTATCAATATACATAGTATTAGAAAGAAATATTATTTAAAAGATATATAAGCATCTAAGCTAGTAATGTGAAATAATTATAAACCAACACAAGAAATAAATATATATCAAAGGGCTGTAAATAAAAACATAGATGAAAGGAGCCATATTAACTACGGGCATAAGTTAAAAAAGGGAATTAAATTACATGTAAAGTAATAAAAACAATTAAATAAATGGGACAATTAAAACTAAAATAAAACTGTGAATTAAAACAAAATAACAACTATATGGCCTTATTATAGATGTGAAGTAAAAAAGAAAAGCATTATTGTGGCACATATTTGGTAAGAATGCGGTCAAGTTGGGGGCATCCTAGACTATAATGCCGTAGGTAACAACTATGAATAGGATAGCCCCAACTTGACAGCAAAACATATACTGAATCCAATATGCATAAAATAAATAAATAAAAAATAGATAAAAATAGTTAAAACAAAATTATAAAAAATCGTATAAATCGAAGTCTGCATTTAAGCCTTGGGGGGGGCTAAGGTTTGCAAATTGAATACCCATTCCATTTCAGATCTCCCTAAAAGGTAGGTGTTTCTGCTTTCTTTTGCAGGATGGATTCTGTGTAGCAGCTCCTGGCAGGGATGAAAGTGGCAGCGCGGGATCATGGAGCAGCGTGAGTGCAGGAGCACCAGGGACCGGTTTTGACAGGGATCCGAGATGGCGGTGATGAGATCTGCCCGGCATGAACATGGAGGCCCCTACATAGACTTAGCCTGGGCTGGGACGTCAGGCCAGTTGGCGCGGATGGACCACCTGTCTTTTCTGGGTCCCCCTAGGTTAGCTTAAAAGTTGACTGTACCGTGCAAGAGTATGCGCACATGGGGAGACGGTGCTGAGCAGCGTCCAGAGGCCCTAGAAGGGGGGACGGTACGGGTCTGGGTAGCAGGCACGTGTGGAGGGCCGCGCTACGTGCATTGCGAATAGCAGAGGTGGGGTTTTGAAACAGCAGGTGGGCCCTGTTGACCCATACATTACTGTCAGTGTTTTATTGGGTTAGTATTATGGGGGTAATTTCACCTGCCCATGCGCCTGTCAAATAACCCTATGGAACAAGCGCAGCTTAGTGGAAAGGGGCCTTGACAGAGCTAGGAGGCGGGCATAGGGCCCCAGGGATTGGGAGTAGCAGTGTTAAGGGGTTGGCACAGTACAGGTATAAATTGGCAGCCATTTTAGAAATAGGCACTTTTAATGTGTTTACCTGGTCTAATTTGTCTCTCGCTCCCTCCCATGTTAGTGGGGTGTAGGGTGTGTTTAGTTTACATTTGGTCACAGATGCAGGGCTAGAGAACAGAAACGTCAGGTGACAAATAGGCAAAAAGGGTTAGTTCAAATAAATTAAAGCAGTTAGGCTGCTGGTTAAGAGTTTGGTTAAACAGTTCGTTATGAACTATGGTAGGTCTCGAGCTCAGTAGTGGCTCAGAACCTGGTGGGTGGTAGGGGTATCCAGTTATACCCCTACTGTGGTTAGTTAACAAAGTTGTGCCCCTTTAAATTATGTTTATGATGTTTATTATTATTATTATTTATGTTATTTATAATTATGGTTCAAATATAGGTAAGTGCCGTTTGTTTCGGGGACATGTGGTGTTATATGGCAGGGGTTGGGGTGGGGTCAATGACTTTAAGTATATTATTTATTATCATTAATAAAAGCTGTGGACATATTGACCCATACATTACTGTCAGTGTTTTATTGGGTTAGTATTATGGGGGTAATTTCACCTGCCCATGCGCCTGTCAAATAACCCTATGGAACAAGCGCAGCTTAGTGGAAAGGGGCCTTGACAGAGCTAGGAGGCGGGCATAGGGCCCCAGGGATTGGGAGTAGCAGTGTTAAGGGGTTGGCACAGTACAGGTATAAATTGGCAGCCATTTTAGAAATAGGCACTTTTAATGTGTTTACCTGGTCTAATTTGTCTCTCGCTCCCTCCCATGTTAGTGGGGTGTAGGGTGTGTTTAGTTTCCATTTGGTCACAGATGCAGGGCTAGAGAACAGAAACGTCAGGTGACAAATAGGCAAAAAGGGTTAGTTCAAATAAATTAAAGCAGTTAGGCTGCTGGTTAAGAGTTTGGTTAAACAGTTCGTTATGAACTATGGTAGGTCTCGAGCTCAGTAGTGGCTCAGAACCTGGTGGGTGGTAGGGGTATCCAGTTATACCCCTACTGTGGTTAGTTAACAAAGTTGTGCCCCTTTAAATTATGTTTATGATGTTTATTATTATTATTATTTATGTTATTTATAATTATGGTTCAAATATAGGTAATTGCCGTTTGTTTCGGGGACATGTGGTGTTATATGGCAGGGGTTAGGGTGGGGTCAATAACTTTAAGTATATTATTTATTATCATTAATAAAAGCTGTGGACATATTGAGCCATACATTACTGTCAGTGTTTTATTGAGTTAGTATTATGGAGGTAATTTCACCTGCCCGTATGGCGACTATGCGCCTGTCATGCATGTCAGCTCCCTTATATCAATATATATATGTGTGTGTGTGTGTGTGTGTGTAGAACTGACTGCACATAGTGAATCTCTCTACGTGAGGAGTAATACACATTACTTTGAGTAATTACCTTCATGTATTTTTCCTATTGGATGCATTGCAACTTAGATGATGAAAAGTCAACTTCTTTGCAGCAGGTAATAGGTTGGTATTTAGTTTTGAGGGTTAGTGGCAGCTGTAAAACAGGAGCCACAGGTTTGGAAACTAGTTGCTAAATAGTGGTTAGCAGCTCTCGTAGTGTGAGTCAATAACTTCCTGTTGCCACTTGTGAAATTTGGCAGGTGCTACTCATTAAAGCTAGCAACAGGCACTTTAATAAGTAGAAGTTGTCTGACAGAAAGCAGCGACAAGATTATAAATAAGGATAGAATGTGAGAGAACTTGAACCACACTAGTTAAATAAAAAAATAAATAAAAATAAAAAGAACCACATCCTTCAGAGGAAAATCACTTAACACAACTACATATACCAAAATAATAATGACCAAATATATTCTGAAGATAAAGGAACTTCTTTTCGCTTTCCCTCATAAAGCAGAGAGGTCAACAAATCTGGGTATCTCGGTGTCTAATGTCCAAGAATATCTCGAAATAGCCAGATAGTCTAATTGCAGCTTGTTAGAGGCAATGTACTTTTTATTCCTTTATGTAACAATGTAGTCGAGGAACCTAAAAAGCACAAAGGCTTCTGTGGTGCAATATTGTTAATTTATTTTAAGTTTTAAAATTTTAAAACAAAAGAAAAAAGAAAATCCTATAAAAACATATATTAGAGAGAATAAAAATAAAGAAATAATATAATAATAATTAAAAATACAAAATGCAGATAAATGGGCCACCCCCTATGTAGTGTACTCACAGGATTAAATTTGCAGAGGGTATGGTTGTTAAAATGGTCCTATATATGAACAGCCACAATGCTTACCAAAAACCTCTAAATATCCTGGAACACACAGAAAAAAAGGCGGACAGCGCACTAGTGTAGCATGCACAAGAGGATAATAAAAATGGTGTAGTAATATATAAAATTCTTATATACCATATAAAACTCCTTTTCAGTAGAGCTGCAAAAATAATAAATAAACACTCACATAGGGCAATACAATCTGAATTCAAGTACTGAATATGTATAAAAGTATTTATTGATTCCACTCACATTGTCACGAGCCTGTATGTAACTGGCTGAGGTGCATAGAGTGGTATCAATGCCTTGAAGTGGCTTCCTTGGTACTTCCAGGATCTAGTAAAAACAAAGGGAATCAGATTAGAACCAAGTGTACATTTATTAAAACAAAATAAGCATAATAAAACCTTACATATAAGTAGGCAAGATGCTGTGTAGATAAAATCCTTTGAGTAGGGAAAAAAATTTTTTTGGCTATTCGGCCTTCCTCAGGTGTAGATTCTTACTGTCCATATTGTCGCTATTTAAATCCAAATTTTGGCGTCAAATGATGGTGATCCACTGACTCCCCCTTCCTTCTACTGCGTTACTTCCGCCCTCCTTTCCCAGAAGGATCGTCGGTTTCCGTCCGCCATCTTGGTATAGAATTTTAGAATATGGCACACAGTCACAAACCCAATTTAGGAAATGGGAAACATAAAAACAAAAAAAAAATACATAAAATAAGATAAAAAAACTATAAAAGTATAAATACCCTATATAAGTCCCCTCAAAGTAGGACATTATATCCAATTCATTTGTGATTTATCTATGTTTTTCAGATGGTCCTCCACCCCCTCCATGACTTTTTGTATTCCCAAAAAGTGGAGGGATTTGGGATCACTATTAAGAAACTGGGAAAAATGGGCTTGTACTGAATGGTTTAACATTTTATTCCTAATGCTCCTAACGTGCTCTCCAATTCTTACTTTAAGGGGTCTGATAGTTCTACCTACATAATGTAGGCCACAATCACACATTAGTAGATAAATGACGTTCTGGGTACTGCATGTGATAAAATAATTAATGTTATAACTCTTATGAGTAACATTAGAGATACAATTATTAGCATATTCACTTTTAATAGTAGTTACCCTACATGCCATACATTGGCCACAGTTATAAAAACATTTACATTTTTAAATTTTTTTTTTTTTAAATTTAATATGATACATGACTAAGCCAACTACGAATGATTTAATGAATGATTTAATGTAAATGTTTTATGTGCTTAAATGTCTTTGTTATATTTGACAAAAATAAATAAAAAGAATTAAAAAAAAAAAGTGTAATTTTTAAATATCCTGGTACTGGCGGTGTTTCTAGCATAGTCCGAGTTCAGCAAGCTAAAGTAATTATGGTACTTAGAGGATTACTGTTAATCTTCCCTTCTCTGAACAGGCAACAAAGCAGACAGCACAGAAAAGCAGACTCGACCTGTGAAATGGACATACCTGCCCACGAAATGATGACCATGCTTACTGACAGCCTACCCCTCAATACAGATGATGCACAGGATGCAGCTGAAGCACTTTGGGCATGGTCCTAGTGTCTTGTCCCTTCCTGCATCTTGAAATCTGCCTAACAATATTGAACTGTTGGTCAGATTTAAAATATGGGAGAGGTCCGCAGGAACTACCCCAAAATACATGACTGTGAAATTTGGGACTGTTTGGCGGCTATGTTCCAGCAATTCTTTAAAGTGAACCAGTCATGAAAAGTTTACTTTAATCTGCATCTGTTAATGCACTAGAACAAAAATAAATTAGTTTATCAAGAAAGAATACAAACATAATTTTCATTCAAGAAATGGAAAATTACAGTTTAAGTATAACAAATATTAAGTTCTTTGTTTTGCCAATTGCAAAAGAATAGGCAATTCAATAGGTCATAGTTGCCACGTGCAGTTCTTTTTATATTTCTGACCATCCTTTTCTATCGGCACATTTTTTTGTGAAGTTTCAAACATAGAAGAGGTGTATCCTCTGTAATATTTTTTGTTACTTGTGTTTGCTTTAGATATTTGTCCATATAATTATTTTCCACATTCTGTTTCTCTCTCTTTTTTTTTAATAGAAGCTGTAAGAGAATATTGTAGCTCGTGATCAGTCATCAGGACCTTTTATTACACCAAGAGTACAGAATAAAGGCATTTCGACATTCTGTTCTAGTGGACACATTGACAAAACCTGGACCGTCAATGTACCTTGAAGACTGGGTTAGAAACTACAATGACTAAAAACACCAGCCAATGAGTGTATATTTTCCTCATTGTCAACTTGAAAACATACTCACTTCATTCACAAAAATATGTAAAGGGATTTGCCAAAAACTTAGTTTGAAGAGGATAATTTTAGTACGAGAAACTCTCAATTAGACTGTCTTTAAGCTCGAGTGCTCTTCGTTGTCTGCGATCAGTCTCGATGAAACTGAAAGAAGACTATTCCACTTTTACATTCTCTTGGTATATAGACATTTTGGTAAAATTAGAGATGTAGCATTACATTAATAGTACAGAAACACTTATTTATATGAAAAATAAACATACATACATTCTGTATGAATATATTTTATGATCATAACTATTACTTTTTGATCAGTAAAATTGATTTTTTTTCTCTTGCATTACAATGTCTGATTACTTTCAATTACAAAAAGAACGAATGTAAAGTGAAAGTCACTTAGTGCGAAAGGGAATTCCTTCTGCTCCAAAATACATTTCTATTTCTATTTATAAACTAGCTTTTCCACTGGCTTATGAAGATGCAAAGGCTCCGCTAATATGGCTTATTTAAAAAATGCTGTGAACTGTAGTTAAAAAATCCCAAAACCTTTTACGTTCAAGGTGATCAGTGAATGCATCAATGTTAGTATTAGAATAATATAAAATGCTTCACACAGATAATAGTGTAAAACAATAGAGTAACTCAATTATTAAAGGGACACTAGAGTCACCAGAACAACTACAGCTTAACATAGTTAGTCTGGTGAGTATAGTCAGTCCCTGCAAGCTTTGTTCAGTAAACACTATCTTTTCAGAGAAAAGGCAGTGTTAGCATTACAGCCTAGGGACACCTCCAATGTCCACACCTCAGATGGCTGCTAATGGTGCTTCCTGGAGCAGTACAGCACTGACATTCAGTGTCTCCACCCTCTGCATGAAGATGCTGAATGCTCCTCATTCTTTATGTGGAGATGCTGATTTGCTCGGGCGGCTTGTGCCCCCTCCCCTTCCTAATGGAAAGCATTGGGATTGGCCGAGATCATCAATTATTATGATGTCAGCCAAGGAGTCAGATCGGGTGTAGAGCAAGCACCAGCAGACTGAAATACAAGTAAGATTTTACTATATTTAGGGGGAAGGTGGGTGCAGGGGGCTACATAGTGTTTTTAACACTAAAGAGTCAGGAATAAATATTTGTGTTCCTGACCGTATAGTGTTCCTTTAAATTCCACAGGGCTTTCAGCATTCCAAAGTGACTTTACCCTTAAATTGTTTTAATAATTTAAGAATAAGATACCCAATAGTCCATTATTATAAACCACATAATACCCATTTTATGTATTTATTTTTACAGTTTTATTAGCGGATATTAAAGTAAAAGCCAAACCAGTATGCTACAGATTTCATTAAAAATCTACACAAGAACATTGTCAAATAATTAAAGAAAGGATAACTGAAGGAAGAAGGGATGGAAAGGAGGGAAAATGCAAAAGATAAAAGAAAAAATAAATATAGATGCATACTGGATATATTTAAAGGAGAAAGCAAAGTCTGTTCTGACTAAGGGCTTTTCTCTAGGCATACAGAAAACTTCCACTTTAAAAAAACAAGTCCAAAAAAGTGGCTCTTTCCTTTTAATCTTGCAAGGCAAAACATTGAAGTTTTTTTTTAACGTTAAGTCCATCACTATTGGCTCTCATACTAACAGTCACTAGAGATGCTTATACTACACTGACCAAGTAATACTGGGTTATGTAATGTGGAAGCTCAAAATATAGTATTCAATGCTTTTCTTTGGGGTGCATTGGATTGGTCATTGCCAGAGGGTCCTGCCACTCCGAAATTAGCATTCCTAACGCTATAGTGTTCCTTTAAGCTTTGTCTCTGACTTCTTTTCTTCTCACCTCCACAGATGTTCTGTGCAGTAAGCTAAACCATTCCAAATGCTAATTTTTTTCCTCCATATTTTTCTATCTTCTAATACTGATCTTTATCAGCGTTGAGGATCTCTAGGAATTCCTGTCAGAGTTGCAATCGGAAACATGTGGAGCTGCTCAGGATTGATATAGAGTGGTTAGTCCTTAAATTTTCATTCATAAAAGAGAGTAGTTCGCTTCTGTATGATGGCAAACTGCAGGTAGCGTTATAACCCCTTAAAGACCGCTGACGGTTGAGGAACGTCATAGAAAAATCCCCTTGAGGACCGATGACGGTCCTGAACCGTCATAATGGTAATATTCACTTACCTGATTGCCGCCGGGGGCAGCCGACGTTTCTCCCAGTGTGGGGGGATTGCCTGACAGCCCAGACAGTCCCCCTTCACCGAATTAGGCCCCCGCGGCCATGTGATCACTCTAACAGAGCGATCACATGGCCGCAATAGGCGTCTGTGACTCTGCCTGCAGGGGGACTGCCTGTGCTGACACGTGTAAAATGAAAAAATAAAATTGGTAATGAATAAAAATATAATTATATATGTGTATATATATATATATATAAGATATATAGACATATATATCTATATAATATATGTCTATATATCTTATATATATATATATAATGTCACACTATGTGTATTTTTATATTAATATATACATATATTATTATAAAAATACACTTAAAATTAAATTACACACATATATGTGTATATATATATAATAACCATATATATTGTATATATATAATATTATAAAATATAAATAATAAGTAAATTAAAACAAATTAAAACAAGTAAAAATAAAAATAAAATTCCCAAAAATTATATATATATATTTATATATCTATGCAATTTTATTTATTTATATATTTATATCAAAATACAATTAGAATTAAATTATATATAAGTAAATTAAAATAAATAAAAAAATAAATATATATATATATATATATATTTATATATCCATATACAATTTTACATAAATAATTTCATAAATATACACGTAGACTTCCAATATATAAATATGTATATACATTTAAATTCTACGTGCATATTTAGGTAATATTTTTACATAATTAAGTAATTTTATTGATTGCAATTTGGGGGACCTGTCTGACAACCCAGGCTGAAAGTCCAGAGAATTGAATTTGCTAACACTGTATTTAACCCTGTAACTTTTTATGGCACCCTAAAACCTGTACATGCAGGGCCGGACTGGCTCCCCTGCGGCCACACAGAGAGCTCTTCTGGCGGCCGCAGGGGGAGCTGGCTGTTCTGTCTCTGCTCCCCCTCCCCAGCGCACTACAAAGAGACCGGGGCCGGAATATGACGTCATATTCCGGCCCCGGTCTCATTAAGCTGCGCGCTGGGGAGGGGGAGCAGAGACAGAACAGCCAGCTCCCCCTGCGGCCGCCAGAAGACTTAGCTCCCCCATGTGGCCGCCAGCACAAAGGTAGAAATTATGTGTGTCAGTGTGAGTGTGTGTCTGTGTGTGTCATTGTGTGTGTGTCTGTGTGTGTCATTGTGTGTGTGTCTCTGTCTGTCATGGTGTGTATGTCTGTGTCATGGTGTGTGTGTCTGTCTGTGTCATTGTGTGTGTCTGTCTGTGTCATTGTGTGTATCTCTGTCTGTCATGGTGTGTGTGCCTGTCAGTGTGACTGTATGTGTGTTTGTGTCATGGTGTGTGTGTGTGTCTGTGTCATGGTGTGTGTGTGTGTGTCTGTGTCATGGTGTGTGTCTGTGTCATTGTGTGTGTGTGTGTCATTGTGTGTGTGTCTGTCTGTGTCATTGTGTGTGTGTGTGTCTCTGTCATGGTGTGTGTCTCTGTGTCATGGTGTGTGTGTGTGTCTGTCTGTGTCATGGTGTGTATGTGTCTCTGTCCGTCATGGTGTGTGTCTGTGTCATGCAATGTGTGTCTGTCATGCAATGTGTGTCTGTGTCATTGTGTGTGTGTGTGTGTCTGTCATGTAATGTGTGTCTGTCTGTGTCATGGTCTGTCTATGTCATAGTGTGTGTGTGTTTGTCATGGTGTGTGTGTGTCTGTCTGCGTCACGGTGTGTCTGTGTCACGGTCTCTTTTTTTTTTTCGTTTGACATCCCATTTTTGTATTTTGTGTCATGGTGTGTGTCTGTCTGTGTCATGTAATGTGTGTCTGTGTCACAGTGTGTGTTTGTGTCACAGTCTGTCTGTGTTATGGTGTTTTTCTGTCATGGTATGTGTGTGTCTCTGTCATGGTGTGTGTCTGTCTTTGTCATGGTGTGTCTGTGTTTCTGTCTGTGTCACGGTGTGTGTGTGTCTGTGTCACGGTCTGTCTGTGTCATGGTGTGTGTCTGTCATGGTATGTGTGTTTTTACTCACCTTTTCCCCTCCCACGTCATGCTGGTCTCCCCTCGACTGGCCCTGCCTCTATGGCTGAGATCATCAAGCTTGATGATCTCAGCCAATCCACACTGACACAGGAAGCACCTCTAGTGACCATCTGAGTATCTGTCACTAGGAAGCAATGCAAACACTGCCTTTTCTCTAAAAAGTCAGTGTTTACATTGAAAAGTCTGCAGGGACAGGCTATAGACCCCAGAACCACTACATTAAGCTGTGTGTGTGTGTGTGTGCGCGCGTGTGTGTGCGCGCGCGTGTGTGCTTGCCTGCTACTGAGTGAGCTTGTGTTTTTATGTCAATGACCTTATGTATATCAGTGAGATTGTTTGTTTGTCTATGAGGCTGTGTATCAATCAGCTTGTGTCAGTGAGATTGTCTGTGTCTGCATGTGAGTATGCTTACTGTATAATTAAAAATGTTACTCTGAAAGGACCAATATTTTATATTGGAAAACGCAATATATATATCAATCATCTAGGGTGGCAAGACATAGCCTTACATATTACACGCAACAATATATGGCGCAATGACTTATGGGGCTGGCATAGATTTTTTTTCCAGGGCTGCTTTGGAATCCCCAGTCCGGCCCTGTGTACATGGGGGGTACTGTTTTACTCTGGAGACTTTGCTGAACACAAATATTAGTGTTTCCAAACAGTAAAACAAATCACAGCGATGATATTGTCAGTGAAAGTAAATTTGATTG